TCCATTCTGAAACCTCATTTGCTTGAAGTCCAGAAAACTTCTTTGTGAACAAAAAGTATTATCACCCTGGGGCACACTCTTCCAAATTTATTCGAGGAAGATCCCCAAAGACTGGCTCATCCCTAGGTCAAGGAAGGTGGGGTGTATTATGGAGTTTAGGGGTTGAACCAAGAAGTGAAATGTAGAGACAGGCTGAAGACAGAGCCATCCTCTCCAGAAAGTGATGTTTATGTATCTGTTACTCTAGGGACATTTTGAAGTAGTCACTGAAACAGCTGTTTCCAACGCCCAGGGTAACCACTGGTTTGATTGGCCTTTATAAATGATTTACACATGTTTTGTCACAATCATAATTGGGTTGATGCTTTGCACACCGTGGGAAGGGGGAGGGAGGTGCACTGCAGCTGAGCTCTTATTAGCACCATTTCTGAAGAAATATAGATTAAATGACTCACCTAAATAAAGTCAAGCATATAATAAACAGCAGAGACAGCATACTGACAACGCCTCTCGTAAAACTGTCTGGTTGTCTCTTCCCTCATTTGTTCCTGCAGCAATACTCTCCCTCTCCACCATTCTACCATTGCTGCAAGGGGACACCATGCCCTGAACCCCACACTTTGCTTCTGTGATCCAGACTAGCATTGTCAGGAGCATCCAATTCTAGATCCTGCTGGGCTTCAGAGTGGGGAGGAGTAGCTCTCTGCCTTGGTCCTATCCTCAGAGAGCCTTTTCCTCAGCACCTGCCAGACGGTTTCATTCTCTAGCTGTACCTGACCTTGTGTGTCTATTTATGGTGGTGTTGTCTCTCCTAGCCCAGATAGTATGTAACCCTCGTGAGCATAGGACTTTCTCCTTCCTGTGTTTTGTACATGTTAGGGATTCACATACTGTGTATTTGTTGCAACAATGAGCGAGTCATTTTTGTTGGTCAGAAGCTGTGAGAATGTGACCCCAGAGCAAATGGTACGTGATACTTCCCTCCTCTTCCCCTCCCACAGCCTGCCAAAAGGCCAAGGAAGAGGGGAGGAAAAGAGCCAGTCCCAAAGGAGCCAGCTCTGCTCCTCTGTGTCTGCATTGCAGGGAGCCTCAGGATACCTTCAGCCAGTGCTAATTACTGAATTTTTGGGCTGGGTGTGGTGGCACATGCCTTTAATCCCAGCACTTTGGATACAGAGAGAGTTGAATCTGTGTGTTGGAGGCCAGCCTGATCTACACAGTGAGATCCTGTCTCAAACAAACAGGCTGGAGAGATAGCTTAGTAAAGAGCACTGGCTGCTCTTGCAGAGGACCAGGGTTCAGTTCCCAGCAAGCACATGGTGCCTAACCACTGTCCTTAACTCCAGTTCTAGAGGACCTGACACCCTCTTCTGGCCTTTGAGGGTATTACACTACATGTGTGTACTTAGACATACATTCAGGCAAAACATACATACACATAAAATAGAAAAATAAAAATAAAAGAGAGACATAGAAAATCATAGAGAACACTTTAAAGCTGCAGTTAAGAAAGTAGAGCTGGGTCTGATGGCACATGCCTTTAATCCCAGCACTCGGGAGGCAGAGACAGGTGAATCTCTGAGTTCAAAGCCAGCCTGGTCTACATATCGAGTTCCAGGACAGCTGGGGCTGCAGGGAGACCCTGTCTCAAAAAAGAAGAAGAAGAAAGTAGGGCTGGGAGTAGTGTACATTTTTGAAATGCCAGATTGCAAGTTCAAGGCTAGCCTGGGCAATTTAGTGAAATCCCATCTCAAGATACAAAGTTAAAAAGGGCTGAGGATGTTAGCTCAGTGGCAGAGCACTTGCCTAATATTCTTGAGGCCCTGGGATCAATCTTCAGTACTACCAAAAAACTTAAGAAAGGCTTACACAGTGGAGTTCTATTCAGCAGTATAAGAAAGATGAAATAGTGAAATTGCGGATAAATGGACGGATCTAGAAACTGTTATACTAAGTGAAGTAACACAGACTCAGAAAAACAAAAGACCTATGTTCTCCCTCATCTGTGGATCCTAGCACCAAATCCTTATAAGTGAGTGCATATCCTGCTGTAACTGCAGGGACCAGGAAGACAGAAGGGAACAAGGGAAGTAAAGGGAAAGAAGGAACCTGAGAGAGAAGAATAGTAGGAGACGGGTGTTACTAAGGGGAAATATCTAGAAAGGGGGTAAGGGGTAGGGAGAAGGAGGGCTATACAAAGAATATGGGAATAAAGGGGAAGAAGGAGCTCAAGAGACGTGGGACCACAGCATACAGAGACTATCAGGAGAAATGGGGAAAATGGGGACACTTTAAATGGGGAAGGTGGGGAGAGAAGATAAGACAGGGAGAGAAAGAAGAGAAATAAATAGTGCCTAGGTAGTATTTAAAAAAAAAAAAACAGAGGGAATTGTATTAGTCCAAAACCTACTGAAAAATTACACTGCAATATCTCTGCATGAGTCTATGAGTACAGCTGAAGATAAGAAGAAACAGTGCCAGACAGGAGGAACTTTCCTTTGCATTGTTGCCCGGGATAGTCCAAGAGACTCCCAAAATTACACAGGCTATTGCCACAGTCCTTGACTGCCTCCCAGAACTTAGTGGTAAGACCCTATTACTGAAGACAGGACATACTTTGGACAGGATTTGAAGCAACGTAGCTGGGACTGACCTGGAAGCCACCTCCCCTGAAGGCTGACTCTCATAGCTTTGGAGAGCACTACGAAAGTTGTTCTTAGCTGTTCTTCTAAGGGAGAACATCAGTAGATGGTCCAGCCTCAGCTTCAAGGCCTAAAGATCACGTCAACGACCAGTACAGCAAACGACATTGGTGCAATAGTGGCACTTTTATCTTGGGGGTAATCACCAGCTACCTAATTGGACTTAAAGCCCACTCAGTGGGGCAAAATCATGTGTAGCACTGTAAACCTAGCCAAATACACATAGCTGGAGAGGTCATAGATCTTAGAGAAAACTCCAAGGCTGTCACATCCCTAGACAAATGTAATTTCTATGTGCAAAATATGGATCCTTAAATTTATAGACAAGTATCCCAGTCACCACCCATCAAAGTAGCTTCTTTTTCAAGAGACAGTGATAATTACAGAGTTCCACAACTGGCCACACACAGAGATTGTCTGTGAACTACCCAAGTCTAAGTGGCACATCTAGCAGGCAACCTCTACACCTACAGCTCACAGAACATAGAACAAGGGATGAAGAGAGCACTAATGCGTCTTTCAACTCTCATCAATGAAACCCCCTCATGCAATAGAGGGCCGGGAATGCAAAAGGTCACAAATGGCCAAAACGCAGAGAATAAGAGTCTGCAGAGTGTGGGTCCTTGGACAGGATTCCTATATTAAAATCCACCTACCCAGGGCTCAGGGACCATTGTGGAAGAAGGGGTGGAAAGATTGTAAGAGCCAGGGAGGAGGTGCATGACCATACAGAAGTAATCCTACAGGCTCTTGGGACCCTTCTCATATAAACCTATAGCAATGATGTCAGCATGCACAAGACCCATGCAAACTTAGGCAGATAAAAACCCATCACAGACCTGTGGAAATGAACAGCAGGCCCCAATTTTAGTTGAAGAATTATTGGCAGCTGATTACTGCTGGGTGAGGAAGAACTGATCTTCTTAAAGGAAGGGACTCTAGATAGGCTGTCCAAATCCTAAAGGATGAACTTGCACTGAAGGACATCTGGGGACACTAACTTTACATGATAGGCCTTAACACAAATGTCAGGATCTATGAATGCCAGTAGGGTGGTATGGGAGGGTGCCAAACGGGAAGGGGGTATAAAGATGATTTTATGTATGAAATACAAGTGCATAGTATTTGTAACACTGTGTATCTATTATGAATATAGTAGGGTTTTTTGTACCTGTTGTGTTTTGTTTTTTGAAACAAAGGCAGCCCAGGCTGCCCTCCAACTTGCTGTATGTCTTAAACTCATGACGTACCAAGTTCTAGGATTATAGGTATAGGTACATAGATCACCATACCTGCCCAATTTGTGATTTTAAAAAACTAATTTCTGGCCCGGCATGGTGGCGCACGCCTTTTATCCCAGCACTCGGGAGGCAGAGGCAGGTGGATCTCTTTGAGTTCAAGGCCAACCTGGTCTACATAGTGAGTTCTAGGACAGCTGGGGCTAAAGGGAGATCCTGTCTCAAAAAGACAAAAAAAACTAATTTCTTATTTGAATTATTAACCAACTAATTACTGATAGGTATCGGGCTAGTGGGTTTCTGCCCTACTGATAGAATTGTCTACTATGTTTTGTTGACTCCTAGAAGACTAGTCTGTCAGCTTTGTTCATAAAACTGGAAATGTGACATGTATCTATGTTAATAACAATATTAGCACAGCACTAAAACAACCAGTATCTTTGGATTCCATTTCCAGTGGAATGTTTCCTTGTAGGTCAAACCAGCCTTTCAGATTTTTAGTCATATAACATGATTTTTACTTTGTGTTCCAAATGCTATGTGGACATAATTGAGATGTGGACTGCTCTGGCTCAGCAGGAGCTCAGAGACAGCCAGGGTTTGTGTGAGCCAGTCTACACTGAGGGAAGTGAGGACAGGTGGTGAGGCATTGGAAGACCCCATTATGCTTGGGGTTTACTGTTTGGTTTGAAATGTTTTGATTTTTAAGTACCAAGTATTGTGACACAATATAAGAATAGAGGAAGAAATGGGGCTGGAGAGGTGGCCCAGCAGATAAGAGCACTGACTGCTCTTGCACAGGGCCCGGGTTCGATTCCCAGCACCCACATGGACGTGGCATTGCACACAACACGGGTGCACTTACTTACATACAGGCAATACACTCATACACCTAAAATGAAAATAATAAAATATTAAAAAAAAAAAAGAATAGAGGCAGCATGGGAACTTTTTCACATTGAATGATTTTATGATTCCAAATCTGTTGATAGTTGAGAATTTATTATGCTAATCCACAAATAACTTGCAGCCTAAAATTCCCTGGCTCTTGTCTTTGCAGGTGTTGGGGCGATGTTTCTTGACAGTGGTGCAAGTCCATTTCCAATTTTTGACTCATGCACTGCAGAAAGTCCAGCCAGTGGCTCACTCTTGCTTTGCCGAGGTGGTGCTGCCAGAAAAAAAGAGCAGCAGCGGTGGCAGCAGTGGCTTATCTGGCATGGGCCACACACCTGAACTGGAGGAAGCGGTGCGATCCTGGCGGGGAGCTGCTGAGGTAACTGACCTGTGAAGATATGGCTCTGTTCAAATAGGAGAGGCTGTGTAGGGATTCTTTGCTTGCTGGCTCTCAGAAGAGCCATTTTCTTTAGAGGCCTAAGTTGTAAACTCTTATAAGCAGCAGTTGTCTTTAAGAATGCCTATTTTGCTGGGTGTGGTAGCGCATGCCTTTAATCCCAACACTCGGGAGGCAGAGCCAGGTGGATCTCTGTGAGTTCAAGGCCAGCCTGGTCTCCATAGTGAGTTCCAGGACAGCTGGGGCTACAGGGAGACCCTGTCTCAAAAAGACCAAAAAAAAAAAAAAAAAAAAAAAAAAGAATGCCTATTTTGTGCCAGACCTGTGCTGAGTACTAAAATGATATCTATAGTGAGAGGTTTATGAAAACAGGGTGTAGGGGTATGGTGGAAATGCCTGAAACCAAGAGGAAAGGCCCTGCTTCTGAAAGGGAGTGGTTCAGGAAACTCCAGAGAGGGAACAGAGGAGAAGGCTAGCTCCTAAGCCGAGAATGACAGGGTGGAGCTGGCCAGGAGGGTAAGTGTTCAGCCAGATAGACTAAGAGGACTGTTGGGCAAGATGGACTCAAGTACTGAGATTTTTGGCATGGGTGCCATGACTTGTTTATGTGGTGCTGGGGATTGAACCCAGGCCTTCAGGTATGCCAGGCAAGCACTCTACAAACTGGGCTACATTCTCAACACTGTTTGGGGGTTGTTCCTTGTTTTCCCTGCCTCCCTCCTCCCTCCCTCCCTGCCTCCCATCCACTTATTTTTTGAGACAAAATCTCTCTGTAGCCCCAGCTCTCCTGGAACTCCCTATGTAGACCAGGCTGACCTCAATCTCAAAAGATTTGTTTATTTTTAATTATTTATGTGGGGGAGTATGTGCACGTGACTGCAGGTGCCCATTAAGGCCAGAAAAGGGCATCAGATCCCCCGAAGCTAGAGGTACAGGCAGTTGTGAACTGCCCAGTGTGAGTACTGGGAACTGAACTTGAGTAGTGCATACTTTTAAATTGATGTGCCATCTCTCCAGCACATTGTTTGGCTTTATTTTTGTTTTTGTTTTGAGACAGGGCCTCCCTTTAGCCCTAGCTGGCCTAGAGCTCCTGGAACTCACTGTGTAGATCAGGCTGGCCTTGAACTCACAGAGATAACCTGCCTCTGCCTCCCAAGTACTGGGATTAAAGGCTCATGCTTTTATAGCCCTCTTGTTGTCTTGAAATATTTGGAATCTTTTTTGTATTCTTGCTCTGAAACCTTGAGGACTAGAGTTTGAATGCCAGCACCCACATAACAAGCTAGACATGGCCGATGCACACCTGTAACCCCAGCAGAGTGGAGCAGAGACAGGAAGATCACTGGGGCTTCCTGGCTGGCAGCGTATCCTAATGAACTCCAGGTTCAGGAAGAGACATTGCCTCAAAGGAGTAAGGTGAAGAGTGATAGAGGAGGGTACCCAAGGCCCTCCTCTAGCGTGTGAGTGGGCAGACGAGCACACATATGTATACACACACACACACACACACACACAC